CACCCCACTGCCTCTGTCCCCACAAGACCTCTGAGTGCAGACAGCATTGCTTCGGTGGAAGAGGATACTTCCTTGAGGTCGGGAACCAAGGAGAGGACGGGGTGTGGAGGGCAGCCCGATAGGAAGCTGGTTCCCAGGTTGGAGAAAGCAGTGAAGTTCACGGCGAGTTTACAGAGAACTCAAGCTGTCATCCTTTCTTGACTGCATGGCCATCCCGCCAGCATTCCATGCAGTCTTGGTATCACTTTGACAAGATATTGACTCACTGTTTGGAAAACAGCACTGAGCTCTGGTCTAGTGTTGACATTGCTTTAAAACTATTATGTAAACATGGGGAGCTTGCTAAGTGGACTCACATTGCTTTTTTTTCCTGAGAAAGGCCCCAGCCATATTGACAGTATTGGTGGTCAAGCTGAGAGCCCTCAGCCCCTGTTCTTGTGCTGGCCCATGTGCAGTGTCGATGGTGGCTGGGGAGGCAGGCACGGCCTCACCCTCTACCCTGATGGCTCAGGATGTTGCTGCCCCTCCCTGCAGGCTCATGTGAGATCCTCCTAATGGAACCGTGAAGTCCAGAGATGCTTGGTGTCACCAGAGACCGCTTTCAGTTTGACCGTGTTCACAGTGAAGTCAGCATCAGTGCTTGGAACTGTGGGGGGTTCAAGACCGTAGGTCCTAGTGTGAGATTTAATGCTCACGGGCTGTGGGTCCTTCTTGGACTGCTGTAGCCCCAGAGTGGTCACTTGTGTCCTCTGTCATGCCCCCCGCCCCCATCCATCCATTCTCAGCCCCCTGTTCAGTTCTCCATCTGCACTGTCTGCCCTGTACTCCCTCTCTGGTCACACTGTCTCCATGCCCTTCCCAGCCCAGGCCTGTGCAAGCTGCTCCGTCTTCTGGAACCTTTACTGTGGTTCTCCCAGGGGTGGTTGTTCTTACCATGTCTGCGTGAAGTCCTCTTCTCCTGAGGCTGGCCCTGGCCTCCCTCTGGGGTGGGCAGCTCTGCCCCTCTGCTCATGACCTCTGCGAGGGCAAGGACTTGGAGCCCATGGCAGCTCGGGTTCTCATGTTCATCCGATGTTCCCCGGGAATTTCAGTTCGTTCACTCACACTTGACCTGGAGCAGTGAGGTGGCGATTCTGACCAGGTGTGTGGAAAGCCTGGCCGGTCGGTCATTTGCTGGAGAGGCAGCCGACCACCGAGCACATTGGTGTCGGCTTGTGGAGGCTGAGATCAGAATCTTGGGAATTCCAGCATTTCTAGCAAGTTCTCCAGGTGATTCTTACCTCCCTCAGCAGAGTGAGCCTCCACTCCTCAGGGACTGCTGTCTCGAGGTCCTAACCGTCTTCAAGGGGTCGAACCCACAGGCTTGATCTGCCTGGAACACAGGGTGGTGTTTTGATGAGTTTGGCACCAGGGGGCTTAGTTGTGTCTGGGACGTCCCAGTGGTGGGGAGAAGCCTCCACAGCCCTGTGCCGCTCCCTTGGGTCCCTGTGTCCGCGTTGGCGGGGCCATCTGCATTCCAAGGGCTCTGGCGTGAAGATTCAGTCCGCTGAGTCCAGTAACTGTCCGTAGCTGTGTTTGGAAAGACAGACAGCCTCCTGGTCCCAGAAGACTGTCCTGCTTCAGCACCTGCTCTTGCCCCTGCTGCATGCCCTCCTTCCCCTGCCCCCTCCCCTTCCTCCTCCCTCCTCCTCTTCCCTGCCCATCCCCTCCTTTCCTCTCCTTCCTCCTTCCTCTCTGTTCCTCCCCCTCCTCTCCTTCCCCCTTCCTCAACTCCTCCCCCTCCAGCGCCCCTTCCTCCCTCTACTTGCTTCCTGGCCTGCCTGCTGCAGGCAGAGGGTAGTCCTTCCTCTCTGTTTGGTGTGACTGAGACTGATTCTGGGTTCACTGAGTGTTTCGATCCTGAGCATCAGACCCAGTGCCCAGCATGGAATTGCCCAGTAAATATGTGCAGATAAAGTAATAAATACCCAGAAGTTGGCGCCTTTTGGCATTCCAGCTATGACCTCGAGGTGGCCCCTCTAGAGGTCCCGTCACAACCCTGTTTCGGTCCCATGTCCATTTTAGTTTTGTGTATGTGGGCTCAATAGAATAGCAGCTGACTGATGTTCAGATGCGTGTGTCTGAGCACATGCTCACGGCACCACCTCTTCACTTCTAAACCGTCGATGTTTCTGAGAAACGATGCTACTTATTCATCTCTTACTCTGAGTTCGGAAAATCAAATTTGTGGGATTTGTTTTCTGTCCCTAGCTAAAGCAGGAGCCCAGCCTCAACAGCCCTGAGCAGCCCTTCCAACCACTGGTCCTCCCCAGCGGCGACGTGGTCATCTCAGTGGGGTTGCCGAGCCTCACCTAATGTTTGTGGAGATCTCGTGATTCAGGAGCTCAGCTGGGAGAGGCTGCCTGCGAAGGGGGCAGGGTGTACGAGTCGCTTCTGGCCTAGCCACTTGGCTTCCTGCTCTGCTCCAGGCCTTTGGCAAAGTGAGACAGTGCTGGCCACCCTTTGTGGGGACCTCCGCTGTGCATGGAGGCTGGAAGGTAATTACCAGGACATTTCAGAATAAAGCTCATGAGAAATCTTGAAGCAGTGGTGACCATAGCTGTGAGGTGACTCAACAGCCCACAAGCCTGGGAGTCACTCTGTAGAAAATGGGTGTTCCTCTTGATCCTGGCCACCCAGAGGGAGGTTTCACTCTCCCTGTTAACGTCCCTAGGCTCCCACCTCGGCAGATTTGTACTGGGGCTCTCGCTCGCACCTTACCTTGCTTCCACCTTAGGGTCAGAAGAGATTGTTTGGAAAGCTGCAGAGTTTCCAAGCAGAATCAATAGTTGTCTTGGTTTGTGATCATAAATGGAGTTTCCTTCTACCAAAGGTTGAAGCTTTTTTAAATTGATGTTTCTTTAACAATCACCAAGTCCTTTTACACGCATCTACGACGACCAGGGTGGCTGTTAGACAGAGAAGGAATCTGGGGTTGAGAGAAGCCAGCCCACTTGCTAAGAGTCTATCTCGGAAGCCTAGGGCTGGCCCAGGGCCTGGGCTGTACCTCCTGGCCTCCTTCTTGTATCTCAGAGGGACTTGCAGATATCACATGCCAGGTAAAGAGGTGGGAAGTCCGTCTCCCGTGCGTCTCCTCTGGATGGGAGGGAGAGCTACCTGCCTTGCTGCCCTCCTTATTCTGTCAGCATCGTGTCTGTCCCGTGATTGTCACTGAGGCCTTGCTGAAGGTGGAGAAGTGGGGTCCTTTCCACACGTGGATGTTGAGACCTGGGCTTTGGCATTTTAGACTACCCTCAAGAAAGCCGGGGTCTGGGTGTGTAGCAGTTTTCAGTTTGCAGAGGCAAAGACTGGAATTGCTTGCACAGGGAGGCCAGTGGCAAACCTACTGCTTTCTCTCCCACCCTGCTGTCTGCTCACTCTATAGCCGTCATCCCAAAGCTTGTTCTTTGTGGGAAGTGGCCAGGAGGTGAGAGATCAGACTGGGCAGCTAGATGAGGCAGCTAGCCTAGATGTGAGGATACCTGGAAGAAAATCCGAATCTGAAGGTCACCCGGGGCGTGTGGCATCCATGTGGAGCAGTGCCCATTTCCAGAAGTGTTCAAGGATATCAGGGTCTGCAGGAGTCAGAGGTCAAGTACAGGCAGAGTTTGCAGCCCCTTGGGCACTCAGGTGCCCCCCTGAGACCCACAGTGTGCTGGGCACCAGGCCCTGCTCCTCCTGTGTCCCCTCCTCCTGCAGATCCTCCCTCCCTGTGATGCCAGGCTCGGCGGTTTTCATTCTGTTATTAGTTAGTAACCTTTGAGATCCTAAAATCACAAACTGTGCGTTCCTCAGGGTTTAAGGTAAGCACGTGTGGCAAGGAAAGAGATTTGGCTACGAGAAGACGAAGGGGTCTCCATGCTCTGAGCAGGGGCTCAAGAAGGTGCTCCTGATCTGTAGACGTCCAGGTTCACCGCTGGGAGGGAAAGGAGGGAAGGGCTGGCGGGAGGGAGGGAGGCTCACCAAGCGGGACAGGGAGAGTCCTGAGTCCTTGTGGAAGGACTCAGCTGGGAGGAGAGGAGGGAGCGGGAAGGTTGGCATCCCCGGAGCCCTTTGTCCTCCGCCATGCAGAACACCAGCTTACGGCTCTTAAATCATCTTTCTCACTTAGGATGTGCTCAGCTTCCAGCCGGGCTCTTCTCAGAGCAGTTCCAAGCAGAGGCTTAAGTCCCAGAGTCCTCTAAACATGGGCTTGTGCTTGGGTTCTTGTTGTCCCAGAGGCAGGCAGCCTCCGTGTGGCTCTCCTGCTGCTGACGGCCCCCAGATTCATGGTTGGGACCTGAGGGGCGTGCTCTGCCAGCGGCCTCCTTCAAATCCCTGATGGTCGTACTCTGAGACTGCTCTCGTTTGCTGCCTTCCCGACGGGGGCAAAGCTGAACACAGACGCAATCCTTGCAAGTGTTTTTAAAGCTCTTTACTTGCTGGAGTCGTAAAGTGAGCCTGGTGTTTGAGGCTGGCACTCGTTTGATGTTGCCTATTCCAGATGCTTGGGCCTGTGTGTGGGGTCCAGGCGGCATCCTTGGCTGGCTCTGCAGGGCCTCCTGCGGCTTCCTGTTGTCAGACTCTGAGCGCTGTGGGCAGGCCGTAGTGGAGGCTGCAGATGTGCCTGCCGACGGCGCACAGCGCTCTGCGTTCTGCTGGCTCTTATGTGAGTTAACGAGGCGGGTGTAGCCCCTGTGGAAGCTGGTCCCGAAGGCAGTAGAAGGGCATTTATGTGTTACAACATGGTGCGTTCATCTTTCTGAGATGGATCCACAGAAACCCAGGCTGCTCTTTTGGGAGTGATGCCCTTGTTTCTGTTCATCAGTCGTGAGTGCCAACACTGCTCTCTTTTGTGACCGTGGAATTGTCCCAGTGCTCCTGGCCAGCACTTTGGAAGTTAGGGGACGATTTGCCAACAGCCCCCGTGGAGTGTCTTTCTTGAGTGTGTTTGAGCTGAGCCTCCCCCTTCTCTCTTTCAGAGGACTACCCCAACGGCACCTGGCTGGGGGATGAGAACAACCCCGAGATGCGGGTGCGCTGCGCCATCATTCCCTCCGACATGCTCCACATCAGCACCAACTGCCGCACGGCCGAGAAGATGGCGCTGACGCTGCTGGACTACCTCTTCCATCGGGAGGTGCAGGCTGTGTCCAACCTCTCGGGCCAGGGGAAGCACGGCAAAAAGCAGCTCGACCCCCTCACCATCTACGGGATCCGGTGTAAGTGCGGGCCTTCCTGTTCTCGCCTCCCTTAGTCTGTGGACGTAGGAAGAACCTGGCTGGAGGGTGGGCCCTGCGAGGCAGTGTTTCGGGGATGAGTCAGGACCCACACTGTCAGCTTGGAAAGGATGCTGGCGTCAGAACCAGCCGCGGAGCAAGGATAGGGATTTCTGGATTGACGTTTCCTGTAGTGAGTGTTGCTGGTGCCCTGCCTGTGGAAGGACCCTGGGGACGGTGAGCCTTTCAGCCCCTGCCTTCACTGTCCTCAGGCCACTCGAGGAGGAGAGGAGCAGGGCCGGAGCCTCCCCTATCCCCCACTGACCACAGCCTTCTCCTGGGCTTCCCAGAAGCAGGAGTGGGGTGCCACCTGCCTCCCTTCAGAGAAGGCTCTGTTTATGGGCTGACCACCCTGACCGTGGCCAGCTCTTGTATACTGACCTTACCAGCCTGCGACCTAACACAGCTGTGCAGGTATCTTCCTCTGTGAAGAGTGGTGTGTGCTCACCTCGGTGATCACTGTGTCACCTCGATGAATCTGATAGGAGCAGGCGTGCTCACATCCTCTCATAGGCATCCCTGGCCTGACTCTCACCATTGGCTTATTCACCCCATAGAGTCTGCCTGACTGCAGAAGGCATTTGACATGGCTTATAATAAAGACCTAAAGTAAATAAGCACGCGAGACATGAGACTTCTAACAAAAGGGTTAGGTAGTCGTATCCAAGAACGCAGGTTCTGGAGAGTTGCTGCAGTTGAGTGTGAAATTGAAGTCTAATTTAGCAAAATCAGTCACCCCGTATCCATGATCTCATACTGACAAGGGCTGCCGTCCCATCAGGAAGGAGCCTTGTCCTGCACACAGAACTCTGACATCGGTCCGTGAACCTTTCTGTTAGGAGTGGCGAGGAGTAGAAAGGCTGACTTTTTCAGTAGCTGTTATAAAAATGGTGGAAAGATTTCTCATCGTGCTGTTTATACTCTCCTTTGGTTAAAACTGAAGGTTTCATACTGACTGCAGATTTTCCTGACACTTGCTGAGAGATGAACCCCGGTCTCAGCCTTACACTAAGGTGGCTTGTCATCCTGGTGTCCCTGCTTCTTGGCCCCAGGCTTTCTGCCACTCCCATCTGACCCCGAGGGTTGTCAGTCACAGACCCAAAGAATCATTTTGAGTAGCTTCCTGAGAAACTGTACGTGTAACCAGACGACATCAGCCCCTCTGGTGGGGATAAAGCAGTTCATGGATGAGTAGAGTGTCGCAGGGGTCAGCTGACTTGTCCTAAGGGCCACATGGTAGATGTGTTAGGTTTTGTGACCCATAGGGTCTCTGTTGTAACCCCTCAGCTCTGAAAGCAACCATAGACAGAATTGTAAACGAATGAGCGTGGCGGTGTTCCAATAAAAAGTTACTTTCAAAAGCAGGCAGCAGGCCGCCAACCATCTGCTAACCCTTGCTTTAGAGCATGATGCCGACCGGGACCCTCCTGGTGCAGAGTGCAGGCGTGGCACGTAACATGCATGCAACCTTAGGTCACGTAGGTCTGCTGGGTGACAGAGTACCATGTGATGGTGTGTGACAGTATGACCCACAGTGCAAAGCACTGTTGGGATGTGAAGATGAACAAGAAGGGGTCCCCTCCCACCCAGTGTGGTCACATTGCTGTAAACAGCCGCACCCCCCAAGAGTGTTACAGGGAGCCTGACCGTGCTGCAGGGTTGGAGGAGTAGAGAGGCTCCGTGAGCTGAGTGGCCTGAATTGGGCCTGGGGCTGGGTGGGGATCATGGCCTCTGGGTGGTGGGCCACTATTCCCATAGAGGGTGACGGGGCTACTGGGATGTGAAGGTGGAGGGTGGTTGCTTCTGATTTGGAGAGATCCCTTGGAATATCAGTCCAAGGAGTATGGGCTTCCTGGGTATGGGCTCTGACACACAGGTGGTTAGGCAGAGCCCTGGAGAATGTTCCAGAGAGGTGGGGGCGGGGAAGCTGGGCAGGGTGCTACTCAGAACAGCAGCACACGGTGATGGGGCCCACACACTCTTGCCCAGGGGGTCCTCGGGGCGTGGGGAAGACGCTGCATCCACAGTCAGGCAAGTGCTGTTTGCCTTACTGGAGTGGGGCTGCCAAGCTTTCCCTCACTCTGGAAACACTCCTGCCTTCCCAGGGTGTCACGAGGTGGGAGATGAGTCTTGCGGGCCTCTGCCGCTTACTAGGGGCTTAGCAAGAGCTGCCCCCTTGCACCTGGCCCTGCACATTCCGGGGCATGTCCCCAGGGCAGTCAAGGTTATTGGCTGTGCTCACCAGCCACAGGCCCCATGTGCACCCGCTGCCAACTGGGCCTGCCTCCCTGGGGTTCTGGGCCACGCCCCCTGGAAGGTAGCATCCTGCTGGTGCTGCAGCTCTGCTAGAAGTCTCTCCAGTCGTGAGCTCCCGTGGGGTGGAGGCGTGCCCATGTCCGCACCCACGGCACCTGGTACTGCCAAGATGTGCTGTGAGCGCCGCTTTTGAAACAGCTCTGGGGAGAGTCTTGGGCAGGGCGGACCTTCAGGGAGGCTGTGGAAAAGGATGGTGTCTTCACGGGGTGTGTTGAAGACTGTTGGGGTACGGCCCAGGGTTGTGGCAGAGGAAGCAGAGTGGAGTGGACACATTCCAGGGATTCTGGAAACATGAGCAAGCCTTGGCTTAACAGAAACTCAGAGGGTCACCCTTATCGCTGGGTGCTGTGAAAGATTTTTTTTTTGTATAGAGGATGACTGATTTACCATCATAAACTTTTGACTTAGAAGCAGAATAGTTCTGTTTTACATTGAAGCCAAGTGGCCTGTGAGTGTTTTGGCGGGAAACCGGGCTGGCCTGCGTGTGTTCTTGTGGGGGTCTCAGTGGGGGCAGCCCGTGCCTGGGAAAAGGGTGGTGGGGTGTCTGGGGGCTGGCAGAGAGCTGTGCAGACAGCTGCTTTGTGTAAGCAGCCAGTGTTGCTCTGTACGTTTAGCTTACAATTTCTTTTTCAGGCAGGGAAGCCTGTGAGTGTCCTTAAAATAGAGGAATTCCTGACCCAGAGTATATACATTTGCTACTTTTGTTATATGCAGTTTACAAAGAATGCAGAAGTGTCTTTAATAAAAAAAATCACTGAAAACGTTGAGATAGAGCGTTCCTGTGGAGTCCTCCGGGAGAAGCGGGGCCTGCCCTTACCATGCTGTTCTTTCCTGTCCCTTGTTAGCGCACGATAAAGCCACTGTTGAGAGAGCAGACCAAAGCCTGGTAGAAGAGACATCAGGGGTGTCCCAACCCATACCCTGGAACGAAGCTAGGCGTCTAGCTTTCGGCATGCACACCCGGTCCCCGGAGGCCACCTCTGTCTGCAGTTTCACAGCAGGAACAGTGAGCTGGGTGCTGGGCCTGGGTAGACTGCAGGTCTGGCGAGAGTCGCGCTGTGGGTGACTCTAAGCAGCTTTAGTATGGACAGACTGAGCAGAGGCCGTCAGTTGAGTTTACAGTCCAAGGCGGACACAGCATCCCTAAGAACCACGGCTCTGTCATGCAAGTTCAGAGTAAGTGGATGGTCCATGTCTTCATTTGAGAGCCGGGAGGGGACTGCCCTGGGACCCACATGCCTGGCCTGTTGGTGCGAGGGACGAGATGAGTTGAGAGGAGAACAGAGGGAGCACCCAGTGTGGTTGCACACAGTTGTCTGCCCATCTCACTTCTTTAGGTCGCGGCTCTTCTGAGAGCCTGGCCTTATTCTGAGTACTTGTAGCTCAGCGCCCCTTTAGTGGCTGGCGGATGTGTGCGCCAGCAGTAGTGTCTTATGGGGGAGGGGGTGCAGACAGACGGAGTTTGAGTCAAGACTTAGGAACATTAACCACATGGCTGTGGGCTAGTCCTTGTGCCTCAGCTCCTTCATCCTCACCTGGAGAGAAACCTTGCACTGCTGTCTGGGGTGACAAGGCAGGGCCCACTCTGCCTCCACACTTATTAGGTCCTTCTGATTTCGCCTCCTACAAACTCCTGAGAGAGGTTGTCCACGGGAGCCCTTGCTTCTCCCCACAGCTCCCACTCCAGTCTGACTCCTGGCGGAGCTGTGTGCAGGGTGAGGTCCTGCAGGCTGAACACTGCCTTCTCAGTGTGAGCACTCAGGTGGAATTTTGAAATGTTACAAGTCCTTGTTGACCTTGTCTCCCTTCGGCCCAGCGTAATTCGTATTGCTGGTTGTTGCTCAAAAACCAGAACAGAACAAATGAGCGAACAGATCAAACTACCAAGCCCTGAGCTTCAACAGCAGCAAGTGTGACATCGGCCACTTTGTCATGACCGCCTTGGTCCCTGCTGTTTCCGCGGACTCTGGGTGACACCGACAACTTCCGTGGTTGGAAACCTGCTGCTGCCACAGTCAGCCGAGTCCAGCTTACTGTGGAGAAGATTTTCATTTAAATTTCTCTTTTCCATTTGTCAGTAGAAATATTTTTCTCCCTTTCTTTTTCTGGGGAAGAAAACTCAGCATTTTGAGACATATAGTATGCAGTGTTTCTGAGAGCCGCCTTTCCTAGCGAGGGATGAGAGAGCAGTAGTACATGAAATAGGCCACGAAGAAAACGTTAGCTTTCCGGGATGGCACCTTCTTTAGGGCTCCCAAGGGTTGCTGGGCCTCTAAAAAACTTGAATATAAACCATATAGTTTGTACGCTGTATGCAGAAGTGGCACATTGTTGTAACTTTAAAAGATTTGGAACATGTTCCTCAGGGATGTGACCTAAAAATGTAAGCCATTGGGTTTTCTCCCCTGGATTTGAGAGTGCGGCCTCAGCTTTTCACTAGTGGATCATGTCAGGCTCTGCTTAGACTCCACAGTGGAGTGAGACGCCAGTCTGTATGCGTGGCTAGAAATGAAATGAAGCTCACATCAGAACTGACAACTCCAGATCTTCGAAGACGTCTCTAAAGAGTGCTGACATGGATAAGAGATCCCCATGAGACTCCATAGCAATTTGGGGAAATCTTGTTAATTGGCAGACATTAAAGAGTCATGCATTCACAGAGATTGTGGTCGGTTGTTTTCAGATCCGCCATGCTAAGAGAAGACAGTGTTTCATGATGGAACGTGGTGGATAACACAGAAGCTGCGTTCACACTCAAGTGCTCAGATGCACTTCCCTAGTGGGGATGCGTGTTGCAGGGTGTGTGAGGGTCCTGTGGCTGCTGTAACAAAGTACCGCAAACTGTAGGGGCTTAAAACCGCAGCTCTGGAGGCTACAAGTCTGAAATCAAAGTGTTGGTGGGGCCACACTCCCTCTGAAGGGTCTGGATGAACCTTTCTTTGCCTCTTCCAGCTTCCCATGATGGCCAGCAGTTTGCCGCCTTCCTGGGTTTGTGGCAGCATAACTCTAATCTCTGTTTACATCGTCACACGGCCATCTTCTCTGTGTCTCCATTGTCACACGGCCATCTTCTCTGTGTCTCCATTGTCACACGGCCATCTTCTCTGTGTCTCCATTGTCACACGGCCATCTTCTCTGTGTCTCCATTGTCACACGGCCATCTCTGTGTCTCCATTGTCACACGGCCATCTTCTCCGTGTCTCCATTGTCACACAGCCGTCTTCTCCCTGTCTCCATCATCACAGAGCCATTTTCTCTCTGTGTCTCCATCATCACACGGCCGTCTTCTCCCTGTATCTCCATCATCACACAGCCGTTTTCTCTCTGTGTCTCCATCATCACACGGCCGTCTTCTCCCTGTATCTGCATCATCACGTGGCCATCTTCTCCCTGTGTGTTTCTCCGTGTCTCTTCTCTCCTTATAAGGATACTAATCATACTGGATTTAGAACCCACTGTATTCCAGTATGACCTCATCTTGACTTAATTAATCACATCTGCAAAGACGCTATTTCCAAGAGAGGTCACATTCTGAAGTCCTGGGAAGGACGTGATTTTGGGGGACACTTCAGCATAGTCTGGGTTCTCTAGAGCTTTGATAATAAGTGCTTTGTCTTACACAGCTTCCCTGGGGGCCTAACACGGGTCTTTGGTTATGCTGAGGCACCAATTTGTCTGGAGAACTGGAGGGAAGGTTGGTCTGTGTGGACTGGGGGTGAGAAGGAGCCTGTGAGAAGTGGACAACAGTTGGGGGCCCTTGCTCCCAGGTCACCTGGACACTGGGCCTTGGAGAGCCCTGACAGTGGTCATTGGCTCTTCTTACAGAGTGAGGAGCTCGTTACGCCATTGTGCTTCTCACCAGTCACTGGGGAGAAGGGCCAGCCTGGGTCTGAGGCTGGGACATACTGGACACATGTGGTGCATGGAGTGTGAGTGAGGTGCTGGCCCCACCTGAGTGAGAGCACACAGCTCATCCCCCTCGCTCGGAGGGCTCTGGAGGTCTGTTGTTTGCCGAGGCCAGTGGCTTTCAAGTAGGACTGTCGTGTTAAGACAGGAGTTGCTGGTGCTCAGTTCTCTGCGTTTCTTCCCCTCCACTTGAGAGCACATCAGCAGTGAGAGTGTTTTCATTCCTCGGTGACTGCTACGGCCCATGCCACCCACCGAGCATGCGATTAGGAGCTCTGTTGGTTTTATTTTGTCTGTCCTTTCCCACAGTGCTGCTCAGCCCCTCTGTGGGCTCGTTATTTGAGAGTCGGGAATCTGGTTTTATGATTTGAACCACCCCTGTTCATGATGGGCATTCTGGAAAGTGGGAAGGCAGCTCCCAGGGACGGGACTCTCTTCAGATCTTTGGGGGGGCCAGACAGCTTGCCAGGAAAGCAGACGGGGGCAGGTCCCCCTGGGCCGTCTCTCCGGGAGTGGCCGAGGGGGCTTTCCTGCTGAACGGCTCTCTCCTGAAGACGCTGAGGGGGCTGAGCAGCTGCCTTACCTTCCAGAAGAGATGCATTCCCAGCTCCCTGGGGACCCTGAGGCTGGGCAGCGCACCGGAAACGGCCTCAGAGTTGCTGTGTCTCCTGCGCAAGGCGGGCAGGGTGACCGCCAGGCTGTGGGGTGGCCCAGGAGCAGAGGCATGTGGCCTGAGATCCTTGCGCATCTTCCGTGGCCTTGAGTGTCCCTGGTGGGGTTCTCGGGTGCTCTCGCGGGGAGGGGCGGAGTGACCGCGGCATTTCTTCTCTGCTTGGGTGGGCGCTGGGAGGCCTGAATTTTAAGGCTGGTTCTCACTCCTAACTGATCATTCGACTGGGAACTGAAGTGAGGGTAATGACATTCTTTATCATAACATTTTCTTATGAGCATCAAAGAACTTAAGAGATAAAGCCCTTCAACAAGGGTGACATACCAGTTCAATTCAAAGTAATCTTTTTATCACTCATTATAAGATTTTCCCTCCACCATTCATTAAGCTGAGGTTGCTCGCTGCTGTCAGAAAAGATGAAGACCACTTTTGGAAAAGCCAGAGGAGGCCGCAGCTTCAGGCGCCACGGAGCAGTCGGGGCTGCTCAGAGCCGGGTGGCTGCTCCTGCATGGGGGTCTGCCCTCTGCCTCCCACCCAGCCGGCTGCGGGAGGCATCGCGCTGCAGGTTCGTGAGCTGGCTTTCCTTGGCAGCCGTCAGGTGGCGTTTGCCATCCAGTCGGAGTCTTGAGCTGCTGTTGGAAGGAATTATATGTAATAGGATGTCTTAGGAGAATTTAAAAGTGGATAATATATAACCAAATGAATGTGTATTTTTTCTTCAGCGACTGTAAGCCAGATTTTGAATGGGCAAATTGGTTTTTACAAAGTTGAACTTAAATTTTAATGTTTTCGTTCATTTCTTATATGTATACACCCATGTGTGTCTTGTGTATATTCTTTTCTCTTACTTGCAAGTTCTTAAGATTTTTTATAATCTCATTAATCTCTAGAGGCATTCGGAATGTTTTTCCCTTGAGGGTGAAGATATGAGGAGAACAGGAGGATGGTTTTCAGATGTTTCTCTTTACTGAAGCTGCCTGATGGGTGCTTTGATACGGTGTGCGATTGCCATGCCTCTTCTTTCTTGGAGACCACAGTGGCTGGGCTCCTCTGCAGCTACACTCAACAGCTGAGCTCTCCTATAACCACGTAACTGTAGTTAATAGTTGGGTTCTCCTGTAATTAGTCAGTGATTGAGTTCTCTTCTCGCTAAAGTTGGTGACTAGCGTAGAAACTTTTGAGGCCACCCCGTGCACCTAAAGCCAAATGCAGGAAATATCAATTGAGTAATGATTCTGTGATTATTTTAGAGGTGACCTGAAAATCAGAAAGCAAAGAGTTGCTCCTTCATTTGTGTTTCCTCTTATGCATGAGTGTTAGAGCACTGACACTATTGTAGGTTATTGTTCTTTCTGATACTATAAATCCTACTTCTCTTTTTTATCCAGATCACAGAAATTTTGATTGTCATTATATTTAGAATCAAAGATGTCTTAAGTATGTGCTTATAGAAAAAGTCAAGTGTCTTTCCAAGACAAAAGGAACTTTTGGTACTTAATATAGTTCTTGAGAAAGCCGGCACTTCCTTTGTTTGGATTATTTCTAGTATTTTGGTCTCGATGGGAGCGGATTTTAGGGATTGGGCATCAATTTAATTCTCAGTAGATGGTCCAAACTTCATGCTCTTAGTAGTCAAAACAGGAAGTTTTTCAGCTTAATCTTTTTATTATTAAATTTTTGAATTTCATCCATTTATTTTCCTGTTAATCAGTGAGGTTTCACGAGCCAGCTAGAGAGGAGGTCATCCTGTTTTAGAGCATTTCTCATGGTTCCCACGTTTGAGACCCTCACTTTCTGTTGATTCAGCACAAAGAAGAGGTGATGGAGTCTAGGGAGAGGTGGGCGGGGTCTCCACCTGCCACCTGCTCCTCAGGGGCCTCCCTGATCCCTGGTTTCCGCGCGGTTGGTGAGGGGATCTCTGGGTGCCATGCAGGCTCGCTGAGAGCGCCACCTGTAATCTGAGAGGTTAACAAATGTGGGTGCTAGTGAGACGCTCTGTTGAGCGCGGGAGGAACTCCTGGGGGACTGTGAGCTGCACGCGCCCTTGGTGGCCGGGCCCTTGATGGCCATTCAGCTGGGTGTGTGGGGCTCTAGCAGGTAAAGATAATCTCTGCTCTTAGGAGGTTTTCATTCTGATCGAGGAGGCAGGTGACAGGAAAGTTACATGAGCCAGCTTCAGACTCAAGTAGCAGCAAGGAACGTCCTGAGATGAATTGTAATCACCGTCAGTTAACCAACATTGCAGCATCAACTGCGGGCCCACGTGCTCCTGGGTTCTTGGCATACATGGGTGAACAAAACAAAGATGCCTATGTTTGTGAAGGAAACAAAGAATAAACACAATAAACACACAAATTCTCTGAAATGTTAGAGAACCAAGCTGGGGGTGGAGGTGGGAGGGACTCTGGCCTGGTTCAGGGCTGGATTACTGAGGTTGCATTTGAGCCAGAACTTGAAAGTGAAGGAGACAGCTGGGCAGGTGGAGGGAACAGAAGGAATCCTGAGCTGGCATTTGGAAAGGCAGTCCTGATAAAATGGCCGGGATCCTCGATCTTATCCTTCATGTTCAGGACATTAAATGCCATCTGTGAAATCAGAGTGGAGAGAAGGGTGTGAGTGTGGAGCATCTGGGCGGCTTGTATGAACCCTCAGCACCTACCTTGTTGCCGTACTTGCATATGGTGTGAGTGGATGAGGGCAGTCATTTCAAAGTTAAATAAATGAGAGGAATTTATAACATACAACAGGCGTGCCTGTAGGGGGAGGTCCTGGCCCCAGTAACGTTTTTGTGTTCAGGTTGTTCCCAGACAGCCAGGACCCAAGGAGAAGGCCTTCGTCTCATGGTGCTTTTATTTGGGGTGTGTTCTTTCAGGTCACCTGTTCTATAAATTCGGAATCACAGAATCTGACTGGTATCGGATCAAACAGAGCATCGACTCCAAGTGTCGGACAGCCTGGCGCCGAAAACAGCGAGGCCAGAGCCTGGCCGTCAAGAGCTTCTCCAGGAGAACACCGTCCTCGTCCTCGTACAGCACTTCAGGTACGCGTGTCCTCGTCCTCGTCCAGCACTTTGGGTACGGGTGTCCTCATCCTCGTACAGCGCTTCTGGTATGGGTGTCCTCATCCTCGTACAGCACTTCTGGTATGGGTGTCCTCATCCTCATACAGAGCTTGAGGTATGTGTGTCCTTGTCCTCATGCAGCACTTGAGGTACATGTGTCCTCGTCCTTGTACAGCGCTTGAGGTGCACTTGGTAGAAGAGCCACGGAGCAGCTTGCACTGTAGGCCTCGGGGGAATGGTCCAGGGCGAGGCTGGCTCACCCAGCGGGACCTACAACTGTGCTCAGAGTCCAATGACTGATTCTGTGCACACTCATGCCGTATAAGTTATTTAGGGAGTGCTGCTTATGTGATAGGCGGGGAACCTCAGCCAGACCCGTTGGAGGCTCTCCGTGAAGTTTCTGCTCGGAGGGTGTCAGACCAGGGCCTCTGCTGCTGATGCCGCCTGGGTCCGAAGCAGCAGCAGGAGTTCGATCAGGACCCTGTCGGCGCTGCGTGGAGCAGCTGCATCGCTTCCTCCCTCTGCCTGGCAGTTTAGCTTACTGCTGGCTTATTATTAACATTTGCGTGGTGACTACATACGAAGGGAAGGGGTGGGTACTAAACTCTCTTTACGCCTCTTTTGAGTTCAGGAGCTCAGTTAGACTTATCTGCAAGACAGTGGAAACAAATTCCCTTAGACTTTCCTTTCAGGCTTTGTTGGAGGGCTTGTTTTTCCCCAGAAAAATGTTCACTAGGAATGGCAGTACGACTTTAGTATTGCCTTTCACCCAAGACATCTCAAAATATTTTAACAAAAACATTTTTCTTTTCTCTTTAACTCCCATAGTGGCTGCCTTGGCAGCGGCTCTCAGAACCTGAGCCTTGACTGGGGTCGGGGTCAGGATTCAGGGGCAGTGGTGGGCAGGGTTGGCTGGAACTCTTGCTCTGGAAACACCACAGTGACAAAGCAGGTCACTTGGAGTCCTCTCAGAGTTTTATTCTGTCTGAACCCGACCTCAGGAAGTGCTTTTCCTCTGGTGGTTTTGGTAGTTACTGGACACCTCGCCTTAACTTGCTGGTGGTTCCTGCAGCGGAGGGGGCCGGCTCCTGTGGGCCACACAGGTTGTGGCCCCAAACAGTGCTTTTGTGAGTGGCCTGTACTGAAGCCTCCCCATGAGTAATCCAGGCCTTTCTCTTAACATTAGGAATTCTGTCTTGAGCACTTAGAGAGGGAGCAGTTGTGGGGGATGCTGAAGCAGTGCTCCCTGAAGAGCTAGACTGGCTCTGTGGGCCTCGGAGGGTGGGCGTGGGGAGTGTAGGTTCCAGGAGGTAGGTTGCAGCCCAGCTGGGGTTTCGCCTCTTCACTCTGGGGCCCACGTGGCTCAGCGCAGAGCTGGACACACAGCAGCTCTCAGAGCACGTCCTGAGTGAACGAGGAGGAGTGCTGAGATGCTAGAGCTCTCTCCGTGTGAGGATTGCTCTGGCCCTGGGCATCCGGCTCTGGAGGTGCCCGAGGCGGAGTGGAGCAGTACTTCTCCTGGCTGACTGCCTCTGTTACATTAGATCCTGACAGAGTAGAGTACCTCCGTGCAGTGGCCTGAGGCTCCACACTTCTCGCAGGTCCCTGAGGGATGCCTCAAGCTGGTCTGCCAGGAGCCGGGGTGTTAAGTCTGCTAAGCCATGGTTGGGTTGCTGGGCCGGCTGACCTTGAGTCTGCTCCTGACCTTGCGATTGGAGACTCAGGCTGTCTTTACCTTCCACGCAGGGTTTGACGTGTTATGTGGCTGGTGATTTTATAATTTGTTTTTATACTTATTTACTTATTATTGTTTGTTTCTCTTCCACGTGTTAGTGTTTCTTTCAACTGAATGACAGTAATCCAGTTTAACGGTAGCTCGTTTCTTCAGTTACTCTGTTTGTAAATATGTCAGTATTTCTGCTGAGATGCTGTGTTTTTGCATGATTCTTGGGTGCCACTAGCCTCTTTGGATGGTGAACAGCCACCGTGTGAGCCTGTCTTCAGGGCCTGTGTCCCCAGGCAGGCTCAGCGTGTGGGAGCATGAGCTCGGTGTCTTAGGATGGGCCTTTTGGAGTGGACTCTGTCTGAGAAATCCCGTCAGCTGGCTGGTTCCCGGTGGCTTTGAAGAACCACAGACTCAGGCAGCGCCTTGCCTCTCTGGGTGACAGGCGGCTGTCTCAGGGGCACAGGGCCTTGGGCCCAGGCGGCAGGGCTGGCCTTGTATTCCTGTTGAGTCAGCTGTCTTCCCACTCTCGGGAGATGGATATTGTACCACACGAGGCCATTGCTGCCTTGACCCCGGTCTCTGTGCCCAGTGTCTGGAGTGGGAGCGAGTTCAAGGTGGGGTTCTTAAACAGAGGGAGATTAGCATAATTATGGTCCCTTGGCCTTTAGGTGTTTATTTGTCTAGGGAGAACTAAGGATAAGTTTCTGAGCTGTTGTATGCAGCCTCAGGCTCCCGCTAATAAAGCGCAGCAGGGGCGAGCCCGCCTTCCTGGAGTCTGCTAGAAGCCCGAGGCTTCCCAGCCCCAGGGCGGCTCCCTCACAAGCTGGAATAGAATGCGCTTTGAGAGAAACAGAACGTGTTCTTCTTTTGTCAGACTTTTTTTTTAAAGTACATTGCTTTGTAAGTTTCTGTTGGTTTATTTGTTCTCTATTTTAATATACTGCATACTTGGCTAAAATTAGATAAAGCAAAGTAGGTGGTTAGTTAAAGGGACTTCTGGCATTTTTGTCAATTCCTTTTGCATAGTCTTGGCCTAACAAAGCAAATCTGATATTTAAGACTATTCTGGTGAGAGAAATAATTCAGTAAAATGTAATTAAGCCAGGATTCCATAAATTTGGAGTTGGTGGTAATTCCAGCTAGAGTTGTCTTGTTGATCGAATTATCAGCAGACAAAAAAGGAACTTCCAAGTAAACGCTATAAATGCGATTCTGAGCCAAGGCTGGTCTATTTCAAGCTGAATTGGTATAGCCAATTTGAACACAAACCATAAAATCATTAGCTTCAAGAGATTTTTAAAAAATAAGTTTGGTAAAACATTTGTGTTGCACTCTCCTATCTGGCAACACTGTGTAAACTTTTATATGTGCTTGAGTTTGAGATGATGCATTTTATTGTTTCAAGTAGGAGTCAGCGTTTTCCCCTGCAGGTCTGCTGGTGCATGGAAGGCCTTACTGGGCGTCTCTTTAGTACCCAGTGTCTTACAGCTGCAAAGAACCCACCCTTGACAGTCCACTGCCCGCAGCTCTGTGTGTGCAGCTGTCTTTCCTCTGGACGCAGAGAAGAGCCAGGCCAGGGGAGCGGGGAGAGGGGCCTTCAAGGGGCCTGCCCTTCACTTCACTCTCTTCCAGGGGCGGTGCAATCTGGAACCTTCTCCGTGCTCTCCCTTGGCCTTACGTCAATGTGAGCACTCTTGTCTGCAGTCACTTGCTATGGCTCTTGGATCATTCTTGATCACAAGCAAGTAACCAATGCAGTTTTTTGCACTGGACTTTGATATTGGCATAAATCATAAAACATAGACTTACATTGTCTTCTTGTGTAAGTTATAGGGGGCTGTTGATTAAATGGTAAATTCAGTAATTTGAATCTTAGGTTTGGGAACTGTGTACATCATACCCACAAATCGTATCTTCTGTGGTTTTTTTAAAACCTGGAGTCTGTCACTCCTCTTGGCTATATCTTTGAAACATTTGAGAACGAGAAAAATCAGCTGATTTTTATTAACATTGGAACAGAAATTATTTGGGAATCCACTTAGTTATATGGTTCTGATTAACTAGTGAAGTGGACTTTAAATGTTTGGTCACATACCCTCTTAAAGAGGTTTGAAAAGTGTGTTCTTCCTTGCATATTTTCAAGTTGACATTTTAAAATGTTGACACCTAAAATGTTCCATTATGCTTTTAAATAATTGAAAAGGATGTAATGTCTGGCATATTGCAAGTATTAACATTTTAATATTATATTACTTTTTGAAATGTGTTGTAGAATCTTATTTACCATGTCAGTTTGATGCCTATCATTAAGCTATTAAAAAATACATTGAAAAATTTTTCTTCATAATCAGACGTTTTACATCTTTCTTTTTTTCCTTCCTTTCATCTTAACATTCCACTTCTCTCATGGAATTTCATCCTAATGTATAAGTTTTGGTGTTTTAAAGATTTTTATTGATCAATCCATTATAACTCTGCAACAAAAATATGTGTGTGTGTGTGTGTGTGTGTGTGTATGTAAAATTAAAATCTTTTCTGAGCCCTTAATATTCTAAGTGTTTAAAAAAATTCTTCTGATTGAGATATCATTACATTAAAATTAATACATCAAAACAAGCATATCTCATTTTGGATTAAACATAGAAAGTAAAATTTTATTAGAAGTATATCTTTAAATGAGTGGGTGGAGCTTTTTTTCCCCAGTTAGTTTAATTATTCATGGACAAATATTACTTATTTCTGGTCTAAAACAGATTAGTCTCAAGTTTATTTCTACTTTTCCTTCTCGTTGATACATCCAGAGGGACTTCATTTAAGTTGATGAGGAATCATCCGTGTCTATGAATAATCAGGTCTGTAGACTCCTTCTGTCTGCAGATCAGAAATATCGGTTATTGAACACTTGTTACTAATGATTTCTACAAAAGGCCCTGGCTCCTCCTTGGGACGCGTTGACTGGAGTCTAGGAATGCAGAATTTCCTTTCCTCCTCTGTGAGAATTTGGGTTGGGGCAGAGGAGGAAGCTCAGAGGTGTGCCTGCATGGCTTGTCTGCTGGCTGATTGCTAAGGACCATCTACCTTTCCCCGCAGAGACCATGATGAGCACGCCGCCACCTGCCACGGAGCTGCAGCAGCCCCCGCAGCAGGCCCTGCACTACGCCCTGGCCAACGCCCAGCAGGTCCAGATCCACCAGATCGGAGAGGACGGCCAGGTCCAAGTAGTATGTACCGTTCTCGCTAGTCTGCCTCTGTGGACAGAGAGGGGAGGGTGTGGCCCAGGGAGCGGGGAGCCCACCACCAGCTCTCCCGGTGTTTCTGGATCACATTGATCGCTTGGGTCAAGGTAAAAGTGCCCTTTTAAATTAGAAGATGTGAGTGGTACAAGCTCTTACGTTTCACAGATGAGGGCAGTCACCAAACGAACATGTCATTGTCACTGGCCCCTCGTGGCTTCATATGTGTACTATACCAGGTGGCCACTGTCGGCTCTCAGGGTCAGGCCATTAAGCTGTCCCTACTTCTGTCCGTCCTCCCAGAAGGCATCAAAGATGTAGCATAGATATTTTCTCAGTTCAGAAGCTTGGGCACCTTTTTGCTGTGGGAAGAAGACAGTGTTTCCTTCGGGAGTCAGTGGAGAAAGCTGGTGGCCTTAGCTGTAGCACAGCACTTCCTTTGGACTGTCTGACAATCACTAAGCTCGTGTGGGTACTCGGCTCAGTGGGGGCCCGTCACAGCCTGCCTCCCCTTCCTCACACGATGCCGGCCCAGGGAAGTTCCCCCAGACTCCCCGAGGGGCCTGTGGCCCAGGAGAGCAGGAGGGCGGGAGTTTGCCAGCGTGCCCTGGGATCCTGTTGATGGCTGAGTCACACCCAGCCTCTTGTTCATGCCTGCATCGCCAGGGCTTCTGCTGGAACCTGACTCCTGTCTCAGGGCGGCCTCCATTTGATGTTACACTCAGCACTCTGCCTGGAAAGGGTGGGCTTGCAGAAAGTGCTGACGAGTACTTTTAATAGGGTTTTTCTTCTTCTTCCAAAGGAGATGAGGCAGTTATAAATAGTGAATTCTTTGTGTGACAGTCACAAAGGCAGTTACTCTTATCTTATGAGTAACAAAGTTCTTTGAAAGAATTCCAGAATAGATAACTTTGCTAGAGGGTTTACACAGACACAGTAAAATGAAAGCATTGAAAATTCTACAGTAGTTTATTTTAAGACCCATGTTGATTAAGGTAGAATTTTAAATAAGATAGTGGGTATTTGTTTCCTCTAGCTAAGTTAAGATTTTAGGAATTATTTGTTTGCCTGTATCTACAAACAGAAATGCACTCTAGTTGGGTTCTTTGATTTTTTGGAACCACGTTTATTAGTGTTTCCTGCAGCTGTTTAAATAGTCATGTAAGTGTTTCTTTGGTTTAAGAAAATTTGCCTGACCTGTTTTCAGTGTAGACACATGTGCACATCACCCCCACACACCTCAGCGGAGCCTTCCCGCAGCCCAGATCGCAGAGACTGCCTGACAGTCCCCAAGCTTTCTTGTCCCTCTGAGTTGATAGTATGATTTTTAAAAAAGCTGTCATTGTAATTTTCTGGAAAATTTCTGTTTCTGTTCTTTTCTATGTGTCCTTCAAATTTTTAAATTTGCTTGTTTAGTAACATTCAAAGATTTAACAGATTTTTCCTAGGCTGCATTGCTCCTTTAAAAATGACTGCAGAATATTCTGTATGTGTTATTTACTAAAAGTTTAACTTCCAAGAGGCTATTTAATAAGCCTGTGCCATGCACATATTACATTGCCTGATTCAGGAGTTAGTTGTCTTCTCTTGAATTGTGAGCAGATAATCAAGAACAAAGTTTCAGAAAGTGTTTCCTGTTTCGTCTTGTTTTCATTTTCTTCTGATGCTTCTTGGTGTCTTCTCTTGCTGCGGATCCCACAGGGTCACCTCCACATCGCCCAGGTGCCTCAAGGGGAGCAGGTGCAGATCACGCAGGACAGTGAGGTGAGTTGTGGCCGCCAGCACTGCCCAGGCCCGCCCCCTCTGTGCCAGCGGGCTCCTTCAACTCTGATCTTTGTCAAATGAGGTGAACAGCTGGGAGTCCCCAGATGACACCGACATCCAGCAGTGGCCACTCGACTCCTGTTCCCTCTGGCACAAACCCCAGGCCCTGCCTCCTCTCCACGCCTTCTTGCCTTTGCTGCACTGCTGGTTCATCTGCAACCCCACGTGGTTGTCTTTGTGAACACTTGCTGTGTTGAGTTTTTACTCCTGGCTGGAACTGCCTCTAAACACCATTCTCTCCTTGCCCACCCCACTTGCCGTCTGAGATGCAGACCTGAGCTCCTGCCCGGGAGCATCCCAGTGTGCTAGAGTAGGAAGAGCGTGAGGTGGGGCCCTGCCCCTGCGGCTGTCACCTCCACATTCTCCTCGGCTCTGTCCTTGCACTGTGGGACCAGTGCCGTGTTGCGGGGTGGTTGGGATCTGGTGAGGCCGCACAGGTGAGTCCTGTGAGCTTTCAGTGCGGCTTCCAAGGCCCTCCACATACCTGTATTTCTAGGATGCCTCAGCTGCCTTAGGTTCATGAGATCCAGGCTGCTTATGACTGGTGTCGGTGCTTTGACATTCCACTTTTCTTTCATTTTAATCCGTGATAAGGACAGAATGTGAGAGCCCTTCCAGTGCTCAAGGGCTGCTGCATATGCGTATCGGGGTTTGGTGTGTGAAGGTCATGTTGACCCTGTGAGCTGGCTGATCATGGCGCTGATGATCTATGAGCCCATTGGGCAACACCTTCTCTTTCCAGCCTCCTATACAGGGCGTGGGTGGTCGGTGGCCATCTGTTACAGGGACGCTGTTGGCCGTTTCCTACAGCACAGGACAGTGTCAGTGTCAGATTCAGTGCCCTTGCCTTCCTTGGACCTCGTCCCGTGGCTGCAGAGCAGTGCACATGCTCCACTAGCTGGGCGTGGTGTGGAACGGCGTGCCCCCTGCAGCATGGGCCGGGAGCTGAAGCAGGCCCCAAAGATGGTCCCAGCCTCGTGCCTGACCTGCACTGTGGTGTGTGTTACACGGCTCTCAGGTTTCCCACAGACTGAGTTCAAAAGCTGACACAGAGCCAGCAGCAACTGTGAAAGTCCTGGATTGTCGAAGACCTTTCAGGAGACTTCTCTTGAGGGAGGTGTTTGACTTGCTTAGTGGTGCCTGATGGCTTTCCAGAGCTACTTTGTGACCGTTTATCCTCAGGTTCTAGTGGTGACCCAGGCTACCTTCCTTAAGTGAATAGGACACTAACCTCCCTCTGACTTTTCACTTCTCAGAACCCAGGGCCGAGGTGGAGGCAGCAGTAGGTACAGCGGTAGGTGCGCCCACCAAGCCGTGTATGAGATGCTTGCTGGGCCTCCGGTCTGAGCCGATGACTGTGCTAGGTGTGGCTGCTGTAGTGAGAGCTTGAGTCCGGGCTCCTGACAGCAAGGGAAGAGATGAGCAGAGGTTCTGGGGCGAGAACGAGGATACATGGCTAAATGAATTCCTGTGGATGGAAAGATAAATGCTGGTCAAATGAGGGGATTGGTTCATTCCTAGGAATAATCAGTTCCCTAATCGGCGTGTGGCCAGATGACTGAATGGGAGAAGGCACGTAGGTGTGGCTGGGGCGTCAGGTAGATGAAGGAGAGTGCAGAAGGTCCTGGAAGGCCTGACCATCAAAGTTAAGGAGCGGGGCTTCACTCTGCATAAAGCAGGGCCTGCGTGTCTGTGAGCCGGACGGTGACGGGGAGAGGAATCTGTTAGCTCAGTGTAGGGTGGGGTGCAACCGGGAGATGCGGCAGTGGTGCCGTAGGCCCGCAGGCTAACTGAAGGCGTTCCGTCGAGGGGCAGGAGGCTTCCTTTGTAAAGGGACAGACAAGTGGAGGCCACACCAGCAATTTAGAGGCATCAGCCAAGACCCCTGCCACTCTGGAAGCACGCGCTCTCCATCAGGGTCCCTTTGCTGGCAGCCCTCTGAAAGGAAGGAGGTTGATGTCATAGGAAAAGAGAAAATCAACATACATTTGCTTCTATGTTGTTTTTGCTAAAAAATCCTTAGAATGCTTCTTGAAATTCCATTTTTTATTATCAATTTTGCCCATTTTTTTTAGTTTACATAACTGAATCCCTCTTGTCTGTATTAATCCAGTATTTTTTGTTTCCATTAGGAATTGAATGCCATGAATTAGAAGAAATTGTGGATATTACTAAAGATTACTTTGCAACAAGTTAACGATGTGCAATTAGTCTTCTTATCACAATAAAACCTTACCTTGTTCATTTAAAAATTAATTATTTTGTCAAAATGAAGAGATCTGAAAAGAAACATTTATCAGAGCCTACTGGACTTAAAAACAATTATTATTATTTTTTAAACGAATGAAAATGAGTTTCCAACTGGTGAGATCCCATAGGCCTGTGGTCTGGTTACTTGCATTGAGTCCTGTCGGTTTCCTGGCCGTGCTAATGCGACGTCATATATGAGGTGGCCCAGCGGGGAGGCTGGCGATGGGGACGTGGCACTCTCCACACTACTTTTGATTCTTCTTGAGAGTCTGAAGTTGTTTTGAAATAAAAGATTAGAAAAAAATGACATTTTCATTTGGGGTCAGGACCAGGGGCAATGGATTTTTTGAGTTGGTTTGTTTTGTTTGCTTGTTTGTTTTTATAAGAAAAAATGGGGGCTGGCCAGGTGGCGCAGCGGTTAAGTGCGCACGTTCTGCTTCCGCAGCCCGGGGTTCACTAGTTTGGATCCTGGGTGTGGACACAGCACCGCTTGACAAGCCATGCTGTGGTAGGTGTCCCACATATAAAGTAGAAGAAGATGGGCACGGATGTTAGCTCAGGGCCAGTCTTCCTCAGCAAAAAGAGGAGGATTGGCAGTAGTTAGCTCAGGGCTAATCTTCCTCAAAAAAAGAAAAGAAAAAAATGGTACCTGTAAACACAGCTTAAATATTTGTTTTGGGGTTTTTATTGCCACAAAGGATTGAGCTTTTGTAGAATTGGTTTTGCTGGTTCTTCACAAATGGCATGGGGAAGTGCCTACCTCTGTCTAATTATGTCTTGAAGTCATGTTTGTCCTTGACCTCTCATTTTTTCATCCCTTTTGCAGGGCAATCTACAGATACACCACGTGGGACAGGATGGGCAGGTAAGTGCTCACCTGCTCTCGCTTCCTGCCTGCTTCTGTGGTGGATCGCCAGACATTGCACTGCTGTGGGGAGGGGGCGAGCAGCGGAGGGCGCCTCCCCCTCAACCCCGGGGAAAAACTGGCTTTCACTCCTGGTGGCCACAGATGCCATGAAAGACGTGGACATGTGGAGGGTGGGGCCCTGGGCTACATCTGCTGCTTTGGGGGTTTCGTGTAGCTCTTTGCCTTACAGATGAAACTCTGTTCATCACTGTTTTCTGTGAATTTAAATGAATGTTGTCGATGACTGTGTTTGTACGGTAGCTATATATTAGAATATTCTTTTGTTCATGTGTGAACTCCAATCACCGCCTTTTTTCTGATCTCCGATAAAAAGTAACTAAGCACCCCTGATGTGAACTGTCTTTACAAAGTGAAGTGTCCCAGCTGTGAGGGGTTCCAGAGAGTGATTTGCTTTCTAATATATTTGAGGATTTACATTTTTGTGTCCTTTCGAAGAGTTTGTATTAAAGACATATTTATGACATCTGAATAATTATGAAAGAGAGTCTGGAGGATGTTCCTTTTTTATAAAACATAACTTACGTACTGTAAACATAGAGCTCATTTACTATCATGATAATAATACTTGTTGTTATTAAAACCAAGTGCGTACTCCCCTCTGGAACACCCGTGGACATTCCTGTCGTCTTCCATGAGGGTCTGACGTCTGCTATGAAGGGGACGTGGAGAATGTGCATTCCTGGACTCGGAAATGAAGGGACGGCCCCACCCCTTGGGTTTTCTCTTGGATCCTCAGAGCACCTTGGGAGAAGTGTGACAGACCTTAAAGCATTTGCTTAAATTGGAGTTTCCTAGTTTGAAAGTTTCTTGAACATACACATGAGGTTTTAATCAGAGTCTTGAAGCATTGTTAATATACAAATATAACATAGCTGCCTTGGAAAATAGCCAAAAAGCCCAAGAAATGCAAAATTAAAGCAAACCCACAGTTGTTTCTTGTGAGCTGGGGCTGTCTTGGTGACAAGGCTGTGGGCCAGGCCCGGGAGCCGTCGGCTCTCAGCCGGTTTCCTCGGCGTGTTTCTCTTGCTCAGGGCAGATGTCCTGTCTAGGGCGGGAGAGGGCAGGGTCGTCATCAGTAATTCTCATCAGCAGTAGTAGCTTTCTCTTTGTTTTTGACGATTTAGTGATTCCTATTTATACTGGAAGTGAAATTTTATTCTAATTAAAATGTTGCTAAACTTTAATTCATGAGAAAAGTAGGTGTGTTGCCTTTGATTTTCCCTTTCTGTCTGTCTCTATTTCTGAGCAAAATTCCACTGGGGATTTTTGAAATAGAGTCAGGTTTTTAGATTACGTTAGTATTACGTTACTGTGCACGATTACAGACGACACCATCCCAGATAGATCATGACGGCAGAGAGTCCAGCTTTTGTGGGCAGGTACGGCAGGCACACGAGCTCCTGCCCAGTTCCCAACTCAGGAGGGACTCCCAGAGTTTACGTTGGAAGAGCTACCTTCCGAAAATTCTCCGAGTGCTTTCTGTGCTGCCCCTTCCTTCACCCTCACCCCACGCTGCCACCTTGCTTAAGTTCACCAGCGCACCTCGTCAGCCCGTCCCACCCGGCTGCCGATGCTTGATGTTTGTTCTTTTGCTCCCTCATCCAAGGCCCCACTAACTCCTCTTAGCAGCCTCTCCACAAAATAATAAAACTACTGTACGACCACTCTCTATGTTGTTACATAGATGATAACTTGTTAATCATCTGATTGTTTTTCTCTGTAAAGTCTCGTCCTGCCTTCCCACCTCCTCCTGGTTCCGTTGTCAGTCACCTCTGCAGGGCCTCCAGCCGGAGACAGAACTTAGTAAAGGCAGCACTGACACTGACAGTGGTTGGAGGAGTTTAATATCTGCAACTTTTTCTTTTCTAGAGGAAACTGCTTTCTGATTTAAAAACAGTCTGTGTTCATATGAAGCTGCCTTTTTCTAGTAAATCTGTTTAGCTAATCCTTTCTGGTGTTATTTTATCATTTGGCTACTTCTTGTTCCTATTAAGTTACCTGCTTGTAACAGTTTTGTTTTCTAAATATATTTGCGAAGGAGAGTGTTTCCCAAGACACAAACACCCCACTCCACTCGATGTCACTGATAGGGCTGACAGGGAACTCAGCTGTGCTGGGGGCAGGAACGCCTGTTATTCCATCTCCTGCCCTCTCCCCTCACCTCTTTCTCTCCCCCCTTCCCTTTCCGTCCCCACCTCGTCTCTCTGTCGTGCCCACAAGGGGACAGCGCTCAGGAATCTCAGGCTCTTTCTCCATCAGCCAGACGTGGCTTCTCCCAGGTCCCCATGTGATGGGAGCCCTTTGCCAGTCCTGGTATGAACGTTGGTGTTTGATTTACTAAAAGCTGACAACACAGGGCTCGCTCCAGTTTTATGGGGGAAAGGTGTTGAATGGCTGCCTCAACTCTGGGGAACAGAAAATCCTCCCGCATTCTAGAAACCCACAAAGAAATTTACGTAGTATTGTTCTTTTTGAGTTCATAGATCCACTGACCCTCTCATCTGCTTAATAGTAGATTCTTATCCAATAGGATTAACCATCATTTAAGAATCATTATGCAGCAACACTCCGAATCCTTACAGAGCAGCCAACAGTCATGCAGGGGCTGATGACCAAGCCCCTTGCCCTCATCTTCCACCTGCTTCCTGCTGCTGGGGGCCATGGAGCCCCTTCCCACCCGTCCTGTGTTAGGCCATGTTTGTCACCGGATTTCTCCTATTGTTCTTGCTTGTATTGAGTGACTGTTTTCTGCGTCAGCGCCCAGTTTCTGAGAAGGTACCTCTCCTCTTTGTTACCTGGGCAGGAAAGCGGAGGAAGCGCGTCTGTGCTCGCTCACTGCCGCTGCTGGTGGTGGGCTTTGTCAGGCTGAGCCCGCGGGAACTTCCTTTCTGGGAGTGAGATCTGAAGTCTTTATGACATTTACATAATCCTGGAACATTGTTCTGCCAGTGGACCATACTTTTTGAGTCATATTTCCTTCAAATTAAATATCACGAGATTCTTGTCCCATCCCATGCGGGAGCCGTGTGGGTTCTACCTTGCAGGGGCGTGGCCCCTGGCCGGTCTGTGGTGGGGTCAAATGAGTGTGTGTGAACATGTCTGGTGCTTTATAGACACAGGGGCTTAGGGCAGCAGCGTCCAGTGCTTTCAAACCGTGGGAAAGGGCATCAGGAAGGAGAGCCCACTTGCAGAGCAGTGGAGAACTGGAGGGTTAGTTGCAGCCACGTTTCGAGGCGTGGTCGTGGCAGTGAGCAGGCTTGAGGCAGCGCTGGGCTGTGTGATGCGTTCAGATGTTTCGTGTTCTCTTTCCCCCATCTTCAGCCGTGCGCATCTTCTTTTAGTGATCATTCCTCATCCTTCGTCTAATCTGCTGTTTTGAGGGGAAGCCTGATGGCTAAATTTCTTAAAAGTTGAAGTTACAATACAGACACTAATTCTGGTCAAGGGCTCTATGTGAGGGCATCTCCTGGGAGTGAGGTTCTTGGTCCCCAGGCCTGGTCCTTCAGCTGTTCATGTGCATTTGTGGCTTTGTTCCAAATGGTTCTTGTTGTTGGAAGTCACATTATTAAACTGATTCAAACTGCTGATTTCTGATGTCCCCAGTCTGACCGTAGGTACTATTGGAGTGTAAGGCAATTTCTTTCACTACTGTGTGCTACTGTCTCCTTTGTTACTCAATGAGTATTTTAAAATTAATCATTTACTCTCATGTGAATGAAGAGCAAATAAGCATATAGGGGACAATATAAACTTGGAAAGGTTTAACGGTGTTATTGCCTGTGTGGTAATTTAGGGAATGGTGGAATCTGTTTGAATAGGGGATAGGGTTGCGTAGTAAGTCGGATCTTGATCAGGGAAATTCGGAGAAGACTCTGAAGCTCAAGAGAAGTAATCCAGCGTGATAGCCACTCACAGAGTCAAAGGTGGACGTTTAGACAAACCATCTATAAATGTGCCAGCTTCATAAAATAATTTCTTGAGATGTAAGGGATTTCACTCTTCTGAGTTAGTGTTAGGTATAATAGAATTTTTAATTTGGTATGGATTTTTGGAAGACTCTGAAAAATGAAAACAAAAAGCCTCAAATATTAAGAGCCATGGGGTTGCAATGTGCAGTGAGGTAGATGAGATGATTTTTGGATGCATTTTAAATGAAAAATGATGGCCTTTCTTACGAATTCATGGGAACTTTAACATGGGGTGATATGGCTTTTAGGAAAATGGACCAGTTGGCCTCTTCAGGGAAGGCAGTAGACCAGTTAGCTGCTTCAGGGCAGGCAGGTACACCAGTTGACCGCTTCAGGGAGGCCCGCTTGGTGCATTCGCTCTGCCAACCAACTGGACCTCAACTGTGTGAGTCATCCTGCCCCTTGGGCTCTTTCTCACCCACTGTAAGGCTGTGAGTGGTGGGGCGCCCTGGCCCCTGAGCAGTGCTGCCTGACCCTGGACAGCTCCCACAAAGAGGAGGATTTGCATTGTGTAACAGCTGCCGGCCTGCCTATGGAACAGCAACTTTGTGCTATGTGTGGCTGCACGGCATCATGTCCACAGTAAGGAAACAGTTTCACGTTAGGACTCTAGAACCCCTTTTTCACTCACGTACGCACATGCAATTGGAACAGATTCACAAAACAATATTTAGCCTTACTGCATGCTAGTTGCTTTAATACTTTTCATTCCAATGTCTGTTTTGCTTTTCCATTTATTTTCTTTTTATCTCTTTTGAATACTGGTTGTGACGCATTAAGTTGATTTCATGACCCACAGTTTGAAAAGTATTAGAATAGATGACCGGTAATGTCTCTTTCTTTTCTTAAGAGCCTGTAGTTCTAAGCTGTTGTAATTAAGTAATTTTTTAAACGTTTACAACTATGTGGAGTTTATACTCTAAATATTAATACATTTTCCATCTCATTTTGATAAGTCAAAAGATAATT